ATATTTATCAATTAACTAATAATAAATTATTTTCTCTTGTTTATGAATAAAAATAAGTGTCCATATGAACGAATTTTGAGCATCACACATCAACAAAAGCAACATTTCTTCATTTTAATGCATCTCCATCTCAGCTTATTTAGTTCAAATGCCAGTTACGTTCCAAGAAATCTAGTTTAGAGAAAAGTATACTTCTCAGATAAATGATGTAGAGTTGATTCCATTCGGAAGATTTCGGAAAACGATAGGAAGTTGGAAGTGGGAATACAGTGTCTGGATCTAATGGCCGAGCTTTCCAACTCCCGGCAAGAAACATTCATCATGAAGCACAACTATTGTGAGACACGAGGTTGTGTGTGGGTATGAGTCTGCGTGCGTGGATGCAGCTGTATGTATGTAAGTGGATGAATGTCAGGACGGCCAGAAAAGTGAAGAACCATATGTACACCTACACCTACATCCACTCCCACAAGCACACCGACATATCCACACTCGCACCCACGGTCACAACCTTAACATATCCTTGGAGCACGTCAATATACAGTGGACTACGGTGAACTACAGAATTTTCGCTATTTCTTCATAACACACCTATACTATTCACACTTAGACCCACCATAACACTCAGGTACAACCATACCCGCACCCAGATTCACATATCACACCTACGCCCAGACTCATATCCCACACTCAGCAACACCCACATTTCATAGATTCACGGAAATCAATGCATGCTTTGAACCATATTCACTATATATTTCCACATCAAAGGGTAACTATGTGCCTTCATGATAGCAAAATGAAAGCCAATGCAATAAAAAACAAAGAGCGATGTAATACTTTTGTCGTTCTTCGCTATTTATCTTACTATTTATCTTGGATTTGAAGTAATGACAATGCACGTTTCAAGTCTTCAAATACGCATTTTTTCTGCTTGCAGTGACTCAAGAGACCTTGTGTTATCGGTGCTCACAGCAGATCGTATGGACTGAAAAAAAAACATTCATATAACTCTCGGCTTAGCCCGTATCTCAAAACAAATATCACAATATAAGATAAATTGTCTTATCAAGGCACACTTTTTGTTTGACCAAGGAATATATTCAAAATAAGAGAGCAAGACCGATTGAGATCAGTGATGGTTGATGTTGATTATGTGCAAGATACCTGTTACTATTACTTATTTTTTAGACGATGCATCTATACGCTATTATTCAAGTATTGTTCTGGCTTCTGATCATCGAGAAATTGAATGGAATCTCAAGTCCTATTTTACCATTCACTACATACAAGCATTCAACTGAACTCCAAGCAAATGTTGCCGATCTTTGGTGGACAGTCGACGATGCCGAACGAGAAATTTTGTTTGAAATGCATGTCAAGACAACAGGCTGGATTGGTTTAGGCATAAGTCCAGGTAGAATAGTATTTCAAATTGATGATTATTCTCTTCAAATCTTTGATCATTCATTAGCTGGCGGAATGACGGGCGCCGATATTGGTGTTGGATGGATCGACAACGTGGGTACTCTTTATTTTCAAGTAAGAAAAGGTCTTGTCTTGATAGACAAATGAATGGTTTTGTAAAATATGTTTAGTAATGAATGTTGAAGTATATTGTGAAACAGCTTCACACAACCCTTGCACACATATTGTGACAGACATATCGACATAACTGTTATGGTCTGTAATGCTTGACAAGGTTTTTCGACGTGCTGATTTTTGGTTCTTTTAATGAAGTGTAGTAGACATAGTGAGATTTCTTTATCATGGTTACGATGGCTTCATCGTATTTCATATTTTAATTTCGTAGGGATTATGCTGAAGTCTGTTTTTCTAGGACCGATATGCATTTAATTTCTCAAAACCGGTCATAGATAATACAACAATGGATTGGATTGGTCTTCAAGGTCGTGAAGAAAATGGATGGACAGCAATTCAATTCAAACGTTTACTCGAAATCTGCGATTATATGGATCTGTCAATAAAGGTATCAAATAAGTATATTAACAATCAAACTAGAATGCTAAAACTAGGATAATAAATTGACTTAAGGTTTTGGAATGCGATCACCAATAAAAAACTGCCAGGTCTAATATTTATTTCGTCAGAACCCAGCAATAGCTAACAAGTATTTTGAATCAAATTTTATGAGAATTCTCGACCTAAGATTTTTAACAATCACAAATATCTTTCAAAACTTCAAACACTTATCGTTCTGTTGAAGATTATTTTCGAGAGACTTCTATCATTCTCACAAGACTATACTTAGGGACTCAAGAAAAAATACAAAAAAAATGACATTTCGGCTGATGAAATGTATATTAAAATGAGTTTATTTTAATTGAATTGATTAAAAAGGCCATTTTAATCAAGCAAATGCAATATACTATACCTTTAATCAAAGTCATATAATTACTTTAATGAAAATGTTCATTTTAATCAATGAAATTGAAATACATTACTTTTTATGTCTGTTTCATAAAGTATAATGTAATTGTGTTGTCCTTTTGACATAAAAGTCATGAAATTCATGACATTTTTTTATTTTTCAAGTCACTGGGTAGTCTCCTGTAGATGATTCTTTTCTAAATGAAGAATATTGACTATTTACTATTGCAAACCGTTCTGCCATTAGTTTGAATCATCTTGACAGAATATCCAGTTTAGTTCCTTAGATTTCTTATGATCATCACAAGGGGGGAACAAACTGATTTCGATCGCTGAAATCAGTTTGAAATCACCTGAAATCAGTTTGAAATAACCTGAAATCAGTTTGAAATCACCTGAAATCACTTGAAATCACCTGAAATCATATGAAATCATCTGAAATCATGAAATCACGAAATCAGTTTGTTCCCCCTTGGATCATCATTAAAACGATCAATTTCTTCATATTATCAGGCACAATGAATTCTCATTAATAGATTGACAACAAAATAAAGATGTAATTTATCTAGCGAATCGATTATAATATTTCTTAACGACATTTTCAAACTGTTCAATACCTGAGAATCACTGACAATTCTTTTCCATTATAGTCTGGAACCAATATTGTCATCTTTGCGTATGGCATTTCTGATCCGGATCAACATCAATCGATCGGAGATATTTCCTATCATGACACTCGACGAGGCACACGTATGATTCCACTCCGTTCTTACAGCGATCCACCTTCGGAAAACAAGTTTCATGGACTCGATTCATTTGATTTTCGTCTAAATAATGTTAGTTTTTTTTTTACTGAAGAAATCTATAGTATTGAATGAGCTATTTATATGTATTAGTATCTACTTCCATCGACGGACACAACTTACTATTGCAAAGTGTTCAAAGTTCCACCTCGTTTTCCGACAAAACGGCATGTAATTGGTGTAAGTGGTTATTCTGTTTTCATATGCCATATTTCAATAGAGTCTCATTTTTCGATAGTACCAAATACTTGTCAATCCAAGCAGTAAAGATATAGTGCATCACATGACCACATATGAATGTAGGGCTGACGCTAAGTTCGACGATTCCAAATTGCCTGAAGGTGTGTGTGATGATCATATTCAGCAGTTCGATCCGTGTTTATCAAATATGGCTAATGGATGGGCAGTCGGTGGTGAACATGTAAGATTATCAGACAAATGAGGAAAACAATTTTGAAAATATTTATTCATATATAGATAGTAGAATACCCTCAAGAGGCTGGCTATCCTATTGGCAGTGATTATCCCGTCAAATACTATATGATTCAAATACATTTTGACAATCCTCATCTAGAATCGGGTATCATCTTTTTCTGACAATGAATCAAATCATGAACCAATCGATTTTGCGTTCAGATCGCCGTGACAGCTCTGGTATTCGATTTTATGTTGGCGAAGAACTTCGTCAATGTGATATCGGCTATCTCACTTTGGGTACAGAATCAAATCCAAGCGGTATTGTCATCCCACCAAAAGCTAGTGAATTTGCAATCGATGCCTTTTGTACACCGAAAGCCACTGAAGTATAACCTATAATTTGTATATATACAGACGTCTTTATTCTTCTTGTTTATTTTAGAAAATTCCAGAGTCAGGTATCACGGTCGTTTCTGCTTTTCCACATACTCACTTGCTAGGTTACACATTTTAATAGATATTTCAATCATTCAACATTTTACATTTTTAGGCAAAAGTGTGTGGACAAAATTGATTCGAAAGGATACGGCTGTGCAATATTTGTTCAATGCTGAATCTTACAATTTCAATTATCAGTTTCTAAATAATCTACCGAAACCGATCAAACTCTATCGAGTAAGAACGAAAACAAAACATTGATTTCAAATATTTGCTTTCTTCTCTAGGGTGACGCATTTGTGACTCAATGTGTTTACAATACGATGAACAGAAAAGACGCTTCACTGGTACAGAAGGATCTTTGTTTGCTCTACTTTACAAATACTGATGTATTCTAGGGTGGTCAAAAGACAATCGATGAAATGTGTCTTCAAACATTCGCCTATTATCCTCGGATGAACGATCTTTTTGTATGCGTGTCATCATTATCTCCTACGGCATGGCTAACTATGACCAATAGTTCCTCGTAAGTTAACGCAAGTATCTATTCTAATAGTACAAGTTCATGTTTTCGTTCAGATTGGCTAATATTGAAACATTTAAACAATGGTTGAATAGTATTCAATGGACACCTGAAGTAGTCGCCAAATGGCAACAATTCTATAAGAATAGCTCGCGTCTTGTTCATATTATTGGAGGTCAGACTTTTGAGACAATCTCGCTTGACATCTTGCCTACTTATCAAGATTTAATCACTACAACAAGTTGCAATACAGCTAATCATCGAACAGAAACATTCATTTTTCTCTCATTTATTCCATTATTGATGTCAACTTGGTGTTATCTTGTTGAGTTTTTGAATACAATTATATGAAGATCAGAAACGGGTAATAAATAAGCAATAACTCACATTTGTCAAGTAGATGTCAAGGGATACTCTTACGACTATCATAACTGATGATGAATATGATTCGCTCAAGTTCATTTTCACTCGGTCATAAACAAAACGATGAGTTGACGGGAGTCGAACGAGAGTAACTACGACTAGTTTGAGATAGAAACCATGACTCTAACTATTGTAGATCTTAGTTAGAGACTCGTACAATCTGAAATATAGCTGTATCACCCACTAGGATGTTGGATCGGAAGGAATTTTCAAATACACTTATGAAAATGAAATTTTAAAATTAGAAATCAGTTATACTTCCCATGATTGTTGATCGTCGTTTTTCTTTGCATATCATATTGTCTGTATTATATGTGACCTCTTGTTCAATTATTAAGCATACCTCTGATTTATATTTTCCATCACTTCATACGTGACTGATTGACCGATGCTCGCTCACATAGAATCCAAATATAATAGAAGAGAATATGCACTTACAGATATAAATTGAACTAATCACGTGGATATGAATATCTTTGATCACTAAATTTATTATTAATACAGTAACAGGTAGTATAAGAAGCAAGAGTCATACTATTACAAAAATATATGAGACAGAAAAACTACAAAAAATAGAGTAAATAGTAGAAAAAGAGTATGTGGAAGTGTGGATATGAGGAGTGGGTGTAGTGTCGGTTGGCGCAGGAAAGATTCAAGTTCGCACTGCTTCATAACCCAAGATATCTCTTTATATTCATCTGTTCATACATTAGATGAAATCCAATATCGTTAAAAATGAGTTTCGGCTCTTCAACAAACAATATTGAAAACGACATTCGGTAAATTTTATTTCTTTTGGCTTAATATTGATGAAACGATGCGATCTTTTTTTAAATTTATTAATCGAACAACTTTTTTTTGACATTCTGCATCGTGAAAGGCATTTCAAGTACTTAAGTGAATCCACACAAGCCAGTTCCAGTCGGAAAACACTAGAAACCGATGGAACATGAAAGTACTATTTCGAGTTAGAAAGTCATTGGCGCAATTCGATGATATTCCAGTCCGAAATACTGCTTCCTAAGTTAATTATTCGCGATCATGCACGGACGTACATCGATGAGTTACCGTGAAAAGCAATAATCGTTTGGTGGCACCCTTTATAGCAATCATATAAGAAGCTCTATGAGAAATTATCACCATCCTAAACAGGGACCGTAAAAAATCACCGTTAATATTATCATAACAATACGGTGACTGTTAACAACGTTCAAAAAATATCGTTAGATACCGCATACACAAACAGAATACGGTTTATTAAACGATCGTCATTTTCCATCGCAGGTGTTCATAAACAGTCGTTGATGTAAACTGTCTGCTCTGGTTGAATAGAATAAAACATAATTATTATAGTTTATTCAACCTACGTTATTCTCTATTGTTGAGCGATATAAATTGCTCAGCATTGCATCTAGCTAACATTCCACAGCAACAAGACATATGCGTATATGTACAAAGATATAGTCATAAGGGTTTAGCTATAATTGTATACAAATAAAGGTATTGAAATGAGGATATTGTCAAAAAGCTACAGAACTAAGAGTCTACCCGTAAGGATCCAGTTGTAAGGCGATACCTATAACGATATATGCATTGGACTACATGAATAAGAGTGCGAATGTCAGGTGGTAGAAGTAAGACTTTTCTTATGCGAGCAGTTTCAGTTTAATTATGACTGTGTTACAATTATTTACGAATAAATACGGTCATAAACGTTAGTGTTTACTATAGTGTTAGTCGTAATTATGACCGTTTTTATGGTATGTCATATTCTAAATTCTACATGCATTCTGTCATAGGCCAAATGACGACATATGATCATAATACTTCCCTTCTAAAAAGTTCATTTACGGCTCATAAACGAATAGCCGTAATTTTGCTGTTTACGACTATTCACCATATCGCCGTAATGATCGACCTAAGTAGGAATGTGAAGGCTCTATTCCATGACACATTCACTTTCATTGGCCTTCCTTGTACTTAGCATATCAAAACAAGGACTACAATCCAGATTCTCCAAAAAACATGCTTACTTCTCTAGCTCATTGCATACATTTCAGTCATTATTGAACGACAATAATTTGTGAATTAATTTTTTGTCGTTATTGACTAATACATATTTGATAATTCTCTTATCGAATTATTTCCTCCTACCCATTCATCCCAACTCTGTCAAAAACAAAATACTATAGATGTTATCACGAAATTTATATTTTAAATAAACGAATGTCTCGTAATAAAAGATCATTTTTAGATAAAAAAAGATGTATTCGAAATGAATCTAAATTTGTCAACAAGTACTATCAGTCGTATTACTAATAAGACAGGAAAACAACACTAGTGACGCTTATTCAATAATAAAAACCAAGATTTTATTGTTGACGTCATGAAGCAATATCTTCCATAGTTCATTAGATTATATGGTAAGTAAAGAAAGAAAACTCTTCCCAAGCAAACAAGATTTTCTAAAAGCGTCTTTAATCGCCCTAAACTCGATTCCTATTTGACGATTGTCACGTCCAATCAGAAAGCATCGAAAGTAGTTACTTTACTCATAAAAGGTGCGTGAAGAGGCTTTAAAGAAGCACTGTTTCCATGTGAAAAATGCTCAAAAAGTTTTCTCTACATGTTTTTGACATACACCACCCATAAGAACGTAATTTGTAAATGTAAAACATGTCAAAACATTGCGAAAAAACCGTTGCACATTTTCCAGATGTAAAAGCTACCCTTTTTAAGCGTCTTTATGCATCTTTCCTGATGAAAGCAACTGATTTTTATGTTTTTTTGAATGGATGTGCAAACACTCAAATGGGAACCATGTTGAGGGCGTTTAAACACATTTTCAGAATTTATTGTCTGCTTGAAAATGCATAGTACATTAAACATTTAGCGTCGTTTTTGTTGATTTAAAGAAAAAATAATTCATTGGTGTGTGTTGCTAGGAAAAATCGAAATTAATGTATCGATTAACGTAAGTGTATTGCTAATTATATTGTTGAACAATTATTAGAATATGAAAATAACCAAGAAAAAAACAGGGTAACAATTCTTTACCAGCTATTCTTGTTTTTTGTTACTGTAAGCCTTAACAGTAGCGAAAGAAAAATTGCTTTAATGATTATAGCAATAAGGAGAAAAATCAATAACAATAAAACTATAGAATAGCATGAACATCTACATAAAAATGTCAATAAGTAACAAAAATTAGTGAAAATGATCAAAAAGAAAAATGTATTAACTTGTTTTCGCTGTTTCTTTACATTCCACTTAAGACCGTTTGTATTACCTGTTTTATGGAGTCATAGATTGATTGATTTCATTCATACGAAATAGATGAGTACGTAAAACAATAAAGAAAATCATTTATATTACTTTAGGTTAAGATAATCACTAGAAATTATACTCTAAAAACTACCGACTATTATTAACAATAATACAGATTTGTAATCATCTCTTGAGGAGCTACATTAGATGGTCTAAATTGACATGCTATAGGATGTGAATATGAATGACGAGGAGATTCTCACAGTCACACTCTCCCATGTACTGAGACAACGTTCAGTAGAATGGTCAGTCAAGGTTCTGTAATATACTGGTGACGGAGTATCTTCTCTGATATCCTGCTAAAAACTGACCCTGCTCACAGACTCCTCGAATCCAGTGCATTTACTAGGATAATCACAGTAGTCAGAAAGTCAGAGGACGGAGATCGTTAAGCAATGAACTCAGGTCTTCGTCGGAAGTTGATCTACCTTCCTCATGTTGTCAAATTCCTATTACATGCCCTAAGAAGTACTACGATAAAGAATGTTTCGATAATAAATGTCCCACTAACTTATTCTTTTATTTAGTCAATCTTTATATCGAATACTAGCTCTTTAATTCCGCTATTGCATGACTTATAAATATGTGAGAAAGATTGCTCTATCACCATGTTTCATATCGACTGACCTGTTGGGAGTCATCAATGAGCAGTCTTCTTTAGTCATAGAGATCCACTTCTAATTGTTTAACCATCGATAGATCTCCGTGAAATCTATCAAATGATGCCAAAATATCTTAGCATACACCAGTTGTTCTGGTATCACTAAATATTACTGGAAAATTGTGAGATGTGGGACAAAACTCTAGCCTCTGATTTTGAGATAAGCACTTAGCATATTTTCTTCATGTATACTCTTATATGTACTTTATTATTATTGGTTTAATGAAAGAGTATTTTGTTGAAAAGTAGTTTCACCCATCTAATACCATTCGATGTGCTAGTAAACTAATACCTACTAATAATACCATCGTTTGTATTCATGAATCAATTGTACTTTTGTTTAAAATATTTCTTTCAAAACATATGTCTTTTCCGATCATTTTTCTAATATTATCATGTTATTAAGTTTTATCGCAAGAAGACTGATCAAAAGATATAAAACACAGGATTGATTATCAAGTCATAGAAAGAAATTCTAGGAACGTACGTTTACATTTGCAATGCTCCCTATCCCTTACATAAATGTTTTACTATCCTGTTGAATGATATACACATCCTCTCACCTTTTCTGCATCAAGATTCTGATACTAATTTATAGATCTCGATCATATCTATCGAATGAGATACAATTAATCAGAAGTGGATAACTATTAGTACAGAGGACTGTCACTTATTATTAGTCGTCAGACGACTGAAAGGCAACTATATGCGATCCTAGACACAACAGCAAGGTGGCATCTGATGGAGTTATGATAAAAGTAATTAAACGTGAATAAAGATCTATCGATGTATTAATTAAATAATAAACAGCAAAGAGAACATGACAATGGATGAGATGATAAAAAAGAAAGGGCAAGGAGAATGTGAAGAAGAGAGTAGATTGAATGGAATAGTTCAAAATATGTGTAACGGTGAAGAAGTGTCGACAATGAAGAGTGAATAATGAATGAGGTATGGTACTAACAAGAAATGAATAGCAATACTAAAATCACATGAGTGCAATAAAGAAAATAGAAAATTAAAAAAAAAATGCAAACATGAATAAATGTACACACAAGAAGAAGTTACATTCTCTTTTAGACGTGTTTTAGCTAGGGAAGTGTATGATTACTTGAATACATATTTTTAAAATCGTGTCGGGCTGGAATAGTTACACAATATTTATTTCACCGACATTTATGACAATAGGGAAAATTGTAATCGACTCGATGCAAAACTTCGTGCTGCTCAGCAAACAGAGCCAAAGTAAGATATCGTAATACAGCATCACCCCATCGATAATAAAAAATACCGTTTGTAGAATCAATGCTTTCTATCCAATGACGAATTTCTTTACGTCGGAAAAATTCCATCTTCAATACTTCAAAATTATTAAAATAATTACGAATTGTATTATTTCCAAAAGCATCACGTAATATTTCAAGTTGTTTTGGTTTAATATTATTCCGTTTAATATAATCGAATGTTACTCGTTTCAAAAACATTGTACCAGGTAATTGTTCTTCTGAATCTACATCAACATTATTAGCAAAATAAACTGCATTCTTATTATGCATTTCATCGAAGATATTTATCCATTTGTCTGTGAGTTTCGAATCGTCGTCAAGTCTCATTACATACTCAAACTTTTCTAATTGAGATAGTTCAAATAAAATTTTGAACCAAAATCGAATCATGAGTGAATAATTCCATTTTCCTCTGTAACGATATGGTGTTTTTGTTTTACAAGGATCAAATCCAATGGGAAACAAATTAAAAAAAATACCAACGTTAAGAAATAATACTGGTCGTCTGATTGCCTTTGTTAAATGTAATAAATCAGATTCGTACGGATCATTGCTGTACAGAATAAGTAGATTCGTTGAGAAATTATCAGCGAAATTTCGATCGATCAGTTGTAACCGTTGAGTTAGTTTTGACGAAAATTTTGGGACTAAAATAGTTATAAGATTTTTGCTATGTGACGAGGAATGAGAAGATCCATACATGTGTATTTTTGCTGAAGCGAGTTTAGAGATATTGTTTGAGTATAATGGTTTCGCAAAAAAACAATATGGTTCCCAAAATATTGCATAAAAGACCATGATGCCAATGAAAATTGTTGCACAACATAGCTTGACCAGTTTAATAGGTTTCACCAATATAAATCTACCGTAGATTAACATCTAGAATGTTCACAGCCGACTGATAATGATAAGCAGAAAGTAATGTCGCAGTACCGAAGCAATATCTTTCATCAAGATGCAAGAACGAATATGATATTTTTTAATACATTTATCCTAAAACTAAATGAAGCTCAGTCAGATATGATTGTATCTGATATTTATGCAAATCATAAAGTCTAATAGGCCAAACCATCTGAAAGATAATTCCGATGTAAGATGTAGCTCGAAGCGATCTGTGATTGAGTCCATACTCCCTGAAATGAACATACTTTACATTTGTCCTGATTGCGCCAGTGATATCTCCGTCATTTTGCACCCTGAAATTTTTCTTCTTATACTATGGGATAGAAGATCAATTTCAAGATTTTGTGATGCTAAAAAATAGTTTATCTCGGCTAGAGTAGTCAAGTAGCAAGCAGTATAAAAAACTTCGAACGTTTGTTTTATGTGTAAGATCCCTAAAGCGAAAGCACTAACCATTTTGATTAAAGAACAAGTGTTTTTCAGTGTTACTCTTATTGGCTACTGATCGACATCAGAATCCATATATACTACTCTTGACAAATCTCTTCAGAATTGTCATGCCTATCATACACTAACGGTTCAATGAGAATAAATGAATATCATCATCAATGTGTTGCTTTTATTTCAGCTATTCGTTTATCAATAAAAAAAAATCTAGCAAAAACACCTACTTTTCGCAGAAATAGTTGGCAAAATGATTCGATACATGTTCAAAAAAAGTGTTAACTAATATCTCAAGAGTTTTGTATTATATATAATGGAAAGAATAGTCAAAGAAAACATTTTATGTACCAAGACTTGGTATTTGGAAATGATCCTGCATCGTTTCATCAGCTTTTTCTACAAAAACTCTTCCTGATGGCGTTTAAAATATCATCTCTTTGCACAAAAAATTCTCAGTTCATCAGATTTATTTGTTCTATAAAAGGCTGTTGAAATTTTAAAAGAAAAAGCTGGTAGTCATACATTTAAGGAGGTCAGGTAAAAATTCTATTATTTGACCACTCTCCGTGTTAGGATTGTAGGATAATAGTACAACTCTAAATGGAGATTAATGGACCTTTCTAGACTGATAGTACTACGTCTGTTCGGATGCTAGAATGCGTGTAGTTCGAATTGTGATGCGCAGAGATCATCTTTTTCTCCTTTCCGTCTGTATACCACATTCCTGTTCGATTCTGTGTGAGTCACAACATCAAACACACACATACTGCTTAAACTTTCCCTATTAAGATTTGTTCATTTTGACCGACTATCAACTTTCTCCTGAATGATCAACCTAAAACTGAATACTGACAAAGAAAATATTATTCAAGTTGGCTAACTTTTTCTTATCAAATAATAATTTATTGATTATGTGAATTGAAAAGAGAAATGAACTGCAGATAGTAAATAAAATATAATCTCTTGCAAGGTTTTTTGATTTCTTTACATACAAAAAATTGTAATGAGCATAAGATGATGGAAAATTTGAAATCAAACGGCCTAAGCAAACAAAAAAAATGATAAAACGCATGATGACGCTTAAAACTTCTCGATCATTTTCGGATGTCAATCACGGTTTCCGATTGCCATCGAAAAACATTCAGAAAAATGTGGCATGAAAATAGTTGCCTTTCACACAATCTAAAGCCCTGAACGATTCATACGTTATAAAGTTTTGGTCGCTTTCACATCTACATTTCGCAAAAGTTTCTTGCTCATAATCTGGAACTATGATTAGTACCTTAAGATGATCAGATTTTTCATACGTTTACATATCTCATAATTTTTTCTCTATTTCCAAGCCTTTTCTGATTTCTTTTTTTTCCATGATTTTCTTTTATCGTCTCACCCATTTATGCGATACCAATAATTGATACACACATAAACAGATTTCTTTCTTCACCCATTAACTTACGTAGAAACACATCTAGCCATCTCTGCATCTATCTACCAATCAATTTTCTATCTGTCTATTTAACTAATTACCCGTCTACTTACCTATACACCTACTCAATAGGGGTGGTACTTTACTTTTACTTTATAAAATAAAGATAAATGAATCCTTTACTCTTAAAAAATAAAGATAAATGGATCCTTTATTTTTAGAAAATAAAGATAAATGATCATTTATTTTTAAAAAATAAAGTTAAATAAATAAAGGAATACTTTATTTTTAAAAAATAAATGTAAATGAATCATTTATTTTTTAAAAATAAATGGAAAATAAAGGAATAAATAATACTTTTTACGATGACAGATAATGTAATTGAAAGAGCACTAGAATCATGAAATAAAACACATAAGCTGTAATGAACATCATTTTTTGTATGATTTAATTCCAAGTGTATCGACATATAAAAAAGTTTCTTTTGGCAGGCACTATTTGCCATTAATATATTTATTTTGGCAGGCACTATTTGCCATTGATATATTTATCTTGGCAGGCACTATTTGCCATTGATATATTTATTCTCTATAGTATATCGCAATGCAAATTTAACATGATAATTGGGATAGAAGGTAGACTAGTTTAATAATAGTAAAAAGTCACTTTTTACTTCCAAAAATTTCCATACAAACTTCAAATTCAAATACAGTTCTCTAAAACTATTTAGGAAAAAGCTGAATCTATATTCACGAATCAAAGAAAAGCCAAGGTACATTGTGGAAATCGAATCGTTTCCAAAGAGCACTATCTGCAGAGCAACTTGTTTACTTTACAGTAGGTAGGGCACGATGCATATGTTAATTCTCTATATCCGTATTTAGTTGAAGATTTTTTTATGAAAGAAAATATTAGATCATTGGGAGAAGCTCACGAAAGATAATTTTTAAAGAATCTCAATTCTATCAGTATGGTCTGAATGATTGAAGACTTTAGTTAAGAAAAGAAACTCTTCAACCAAATACAGATAAAAGGAGTTGACCTGTGCATCCTTTCCTACCTACTGAAAAACAGACAAGTTGATCAATGTAAGACTGATCTATGAAAACGATTCGATTGTCGAATCTTAATTTGTGTTGTCTAGTATTCGTATGTATGGACTCGAGTTTTCTTAAAGGATTTTCGAAAAAAAACGTGAATAGCGCGCATATTGAAAAAATAGTGAACAAATGCATTTGAAAAATTAACTATTGTTCATTCTCTTTCGAAGAACCTTTAATGAGAACTAAACAAAGTACCTGAGGTGAGACTGTCTCGATGTATGCGTGAGAGAGAGACGAAGAGAGAAAGAAAAAAAATAGTAAACAACTATCATGAGTCTTATGAATACTTGCATGGTAGAATTTCTCATAGAAAGAGCAGTAATATTAGTTTATATTTGATTCATTACAATCCTGAAAGTAAATGGCGATAAAATTAAAAACAAATATACCATAATTCCAAAAAATTTTTGTTTCCCCTTCACAGAAAGCCACATAATAAATACTATGATAACCGTTTCAACTTGTTTATTTCAGTTTCATTGTGCATTATTCTCATCAAATTATATAGAGAAATGTTTAACCAGATACCCTAATTTTTTAGCTAGTGCATGAGTTAGTTTCCCTTGATTACCTTTAGTTTGGATTAGATATTTTTTCACAGTTTAAGAACAAAATTTCAGTAAATTATATGACGAAACAACGAAATAGAAACCCGACGGATATATAATAAGTATGTGGGTGGGTTAGAGTGTGTAAGTGTGCATTTGAACCCGATAGTAGGAAACCATCGCACTTGTATTCCATACTCGATCCACATCCTTACTTTTTCGTATGTTCTACAAAATATTTCTTATTTCTTCGTATATCTATTCAAGGTCTTTACTTTTAATATGTAGACTATCACAATCACTAATAAGTTACTGGTATTTTTAGTTCAACTAACCAACAGGAGTTTCTCATACAACAGTCAATAATTGGAATTTTTGTAATACAATCAACAGAAAGTATATCCTCGAAAATTAAGCTGTGAAAAGCATTTATTAGCTTACTGTTAAAATAAGAAATCATATACTTTTTTTGCAACATTGATTAATGATTATGAGTGAGTCTCGGTTTTACTTTTGTTATAATGACACTTAATTTTACATTTAAAATGAAAAAAAATACAGATAAAATTTGGATTTTCACACAGATTTCACGATAGTCACGTATAGTTGTTTTTAGCAAATACTGCATCAAGCACTTCAAATTTATTCTAATGAAGTTATCGAGTAGATGATTTCGAAAAAATAACAGATGATCACACTTTGTACGAGAGACCAGAGGGCAAAAGTCAAGGAAAAAGATATTAATAATCTATTTGAATAGTTTCTTGCTCATATTGAAGTTGTCATTTGTGAGGATCTGTTGAGATGGTTAAATAGATCGTTTTCTACTAGCGTGACAACAATTGT